GGGGAGAACAGCAATCATTTGTGCTGCTGTGCTGAGCGAGACTTAGTCTAGCCAAAGATCACAGCATTACACTTTAATATTAGCAACTTGAGTTGATTCAATTTTCTTTAGCAGATATTCATAGATATTGTTAATTCATTAGCATTGGCCACTACTTGTGCCTGAATGCCAGTGGTCACTCTGCCTGGTGTCAGTCTTAAAATTCAGAGAGCATTGTCCATGCATAGCCCACATTTTCTGTTTTTAAATTTTGAGCAAACGCTAAGTAAAAGACGTTTGTTTATACTGAAATTTTGGTGTATCTTATTTGCTCTCATTTAACTGCATTAGCGCATATCTGTAGACTATTAAAAAAAGCTAGTCAACCACTGGGCTTTTGAATAGAGCAGAGGCAAGATGTTCAATTTATACTCTTACAAATGAGTTTCGACCATAAAAAGAGAAGCTATATCAATAAAGGTCAAACAAAACCACAATTCTATTAGCAAGCTTACTATTATTAAAATCAAAGCCAAACATTACATATAAACAAGTAACATGGCAATAATGAGTCATGATCACCATATATGAACAGTTTACCACTCTGTAACCAGATTTTGATCATAGTTTTAGTCCAAGAAACCTGTCATTGCAGAGGGTGTGGCACCATGGTTTGTCTGTGTGTAGAGCTTGCAGACTGACAATGTTTACTGTGATAGTTATAATTCCCGACCATATTCTTGAGAGGTCTGTAATGCTGCTGCAGGTCAGGACCATGTAATAACCATAATAGATGAAATGCACAAGCGAAAGAGCTAGTATTATGTGCAATCTTGTTTACTGGCATATTTTAAGATCACATGTGCAAAACCAAAACAAAACCCTGCTATTTATTTGCCTGTCCTCAGAGAGAGCTAAACTAAAATAGATGGGCTGAAGGAAGTACTCTGCATAAATACTTAATATAAATTATTAAGACTATGTTATGCAAATCATTCCTTCATAAAATCAATGTTTATAAATACAGCTTTAATCTGAAATGTATTTTAATGCATATACACTATAGAACACATTTAGGTTCTTTGTAATGTACTTCTACCTAAAAGAGTGATATATCTTCAGCCTACGGGCCAAACATTAATACACACTCAGCTGTTTTTCTCAAAGGCATGACCCTTCATTAGCAAAACGTTGCATTTGTGTGATCCCAGCTCACTCATGCACAGAAATTTATAGAAAAATTATCTTACCTCAACCTTTAGAGACTGGCATCCTTTTAGAAACTCTTGAATGTTTGCAATGCAGTCCGCTTCGCATCTGGGTTCAGTTGAATACTGAAAACCAATGGAAGAATGGCGATGTAAATAATCTCAACTTTGCTTCGAGCTCACTGCAACGCACAGAACCACCTGAGATCAACAAGATCTCGTTTTCTGAAGTAAATGTCAACCTAGTCTGTGAGCCACATTGTACCCTGCCACTGCTGTCCAGTGTCGCAAGCTAAATGTATTTGGCGTTGAGTTTACTAAGTAAATGTTTCTTTGCGTCAGCTTAGTCCTGTAACACAGACACACAGCCAGTATCTATGCTAGATCTCATCGGGCCCTATCGCACCAGGAAAATATATTTTGGAGGAAGTGACGATGTTTGCTCAGCAAGTTTCTACTTGGACCGTTTACTAGTGATGGCAAGTCCGATTCATTTCCGCGAATCGGTTCCTTCGATCTTTCGAACAGTTCCGTTCAAAGAACCGGCTCAAAAATCTATTTTTTTGCGCATTGACGTCCATGACGGGACATCCAGGCGTGGTATATCATATGTCATAAATAAAACGTTCAAATAAAGCTATAGACGCATAATGTTGATTATTACGTTTTTAAGACCCCCCAAAACGTTGTGCACTGTATTCCATGTGTCTGTTTGCAGCAAAAATTCAGCTCGTAATAAAAGTCATTTAGAACTTAAATATAATTTGCATTAATTAATTAATTTACACCTATTGGCTGAAAAAATGAAGGGAGGAAGACAAGAACCAAGACTTAAAATGAGCCCTTTATAAAACAGAGAAACTTCTACAAGTTGTTGAATTGATAAGCACATTCGTTATACTTTCAATGAGCTCTATGTTTTCGCCCCTTGATCAAAGCACGGATTTAGAGCGTTTAAATTAATTTCAACAGAATTTTATTCCGTAGAAAATCAAAATGCAAACCTTAGGTTATCTTATTAATAACGACCTTATTTGCCAATGTGGAGCTGGATTGGTTAGCAGCAGAGGCATGCAGACAGACAATCAGAGATTTGACTGATATAGTTAAATATGGCTTTTACAAACGAGAAAAGAAAGTTGCTTTACAAATGCTCTTGGTATTTTATACTAAAGTGAAGATCGACCAGGTTTTTTTTTTTTTTTTGAAAATGTGAGAATGCGGAACAATTTATAATGTAACAGGAAGTCAGATTCTCTATCTCGATTAAATTGTGTCCTGAATAAACAAACACAGATAAATAGACTTTCTTTGCTTAAGATTGTTTCAAAATGTAATGTATCTTTACCAAATGCAGTGCATCTCAAAGTGTTACTTGTAACAGCGAGTAATCAGGCATTACGCATCGTGCACCGTCAATTCCGCATGGTTGTTATCTGATACTTTTACATTTATGAAAATAATCAATTCACTAGACTGCGACTATTTAATCAAGGAAACATGCATGTGCATATTATCGATTACCTTTAAGATGGCTCCAGGCAGCACTCGCTCCACAAGCTTACACAGGACGACCCCATCTCTGAGAGATGTTTTCAGAAATTCCTCCGGATCAGCGATATTCTTTTTGGGTGAATTAAGCACGCCTAATGTTATTAGCCACGTAACCGTCTGCTCCTCGGGGTTCATAGTTTTAGGCTCAATGGGCCTTTCAGATTTAGCTGCACCCTTGGTGCGCCAGCTCTCACTATTTGTGTTGAGATGCTACCCACATCCGTCGCGCTTCTGCTTTTTCACTGACGTTACAGCGACCATTCAGCCCGGCAACTTAGTTCTCCAGTGGACGTCTGCCATATAACCAACATAAAGGCTCTTTGACATATCAGTGACACAAAAGGAACTGTGATTGCTTTAAAATGCCGCAAGAATTTTCCATATGGCTCAGCCGCGCTTTTAGATCAAATTAGCCTGTCGTAGAGTAAACAGACATGCCCATACAAATACAGCACTATTACGGTGGCAATTAAATAAGATACATATACAAATAAGTTCATTTCAATTCAAATGATAGTTTATTGAAAAGCCAAAATAAATAAATAAAAACAAATAAAAGAGCAATTCATCTGTAGCACTCCAAGACTCCCATCTAAACATCAGGAGCCTCAATGTACTGCAGCCTCCAAAGAACCTGAATAGCTTGGATGGATCTAGATGAAAACAAGTAATTAATTGCATGAAAACACCAAATATAAGTTTGCAATGGTTTAAGGACTCACACATACCTGCATCTTACTTGAGACCATCATGCATCTCCAAATGGCAACAGGTGCTGATCAGCAATGAGGTATTACCATCAAACTCTTTTCCCCCCATTCAGCCTGCAATGAGAGTTTCCATCAGCAAACTGTTGTAGCGCAGCATAAGGGACAAATATTATTTTAAATGTAATTTTACAAAATAACTAAAATGACCCAAACTGATTGGTTTTCCAGGTTTGTTGATGGGGTGCTGTCTTTCTCCACGTGGTCTCCTTTGTTAGAAACGGCATGCTTGAGAGCGTTCTGGCTTTTTTTTTTTTTATACTAAGTGAATTTTACTACATTTTCAAAAGGGTTCCACTGGGAGGTTTCAAGAGGTTTTGCAGCTATGTGGCTTACATTTGGCTGTAGATATAGATCCATTGAGGAGACTCATCTTAACATCCTTTTTTTTTTTTTTTATAAAAAAAGGGGCCATTTCTCATTTGAAAGGGGCAGAAAAAAAAATCCAGACATTTTCTCCTTTAGTGCAACAGTAGAACTGGCTGAGACTAAGCCCTCCTAAACTGAAGTGATCCAGTGGTGGGGGAGAGGGATCATAGACTCCTTTGAAGGCAGAAGTGAGGTTTTGTTAATAATGTTGGAAATTATATTGTTTCAGATTGCATTTGAAAAAGCCAGGGCAACCAAGTCGATGTTTGACTAAATTACACTGCAAAATAACACCACCGAGACTTGACTTATACCAGAACAAAAGGGTTTGCTTTGCTTACCAGCTGTTGACAGGTTTTATCTGTGGTGCTGATTTGTTTCTTGCATTTTGGTTGTCTTTGGATTGGTCGATGCAAGGCGTCAATGTTTAGGCTTTGTGATGAAGGATCCATTTGCACTGAGGAAAACTACACCCATAGAGAGTTTGGAAAAAGGTGAAATTTGCCCAGTCCCCAACAATGTGAACAATCATGCCTACATGAATATTCTGCATTGCTTCTATATTAAGTGGAATTTGGGGTTGCTCACCATGGAAAACTGAAGAGGTAAATGGATATTTATGCATCGTTTCTAATTCTCTTGAATAGAGTGTCGCTGCTCAATATCTTTGATTAAAAACACTTTATTGGTAAATGAAAGCCATATGTTAGGGCATTGCAGGCTTAACAAGTCACTAGTATACAAAAAGAACACACTTAGATTTGCAACGGTACCATTAAATGGGATGTGGGCTAGAGAAAAGAAACTCTGAATTTAAAAAGGACAAAAATAATAATAAAAAAAATAATAAAAACCTTCACATGTTTGAGTACAGCTTGAAACTGAAACTCGAAGTCCAGAGTTTAAAAGGGCGCTTTTTTTTGGAATCTTAAATTCTTTTGAACGTTTCAACGAGAAGCCATCATTTCTCCTTTTTATTTTTTTCTCCTCAAAGTCCATCTCAGTATCTGTTCCGGGCCATTCCTCTATCTGCCCGACCGCTGCCTCGGCCGCCGCCTCGAGGTGCCCCACGGCTCGAGCTGCTGTATTCACGAGGGTAGCCTCTCTCAAGAGGAGGGGGGGGCAGCTTGAAACTGAAACTCGAAGTCCAGAGTTTAAAAGGGCGCTTTTTTTTGGAATCTTAAATTCTTTTGAACGTTTCAACGAGAAGCCATCATTTCTCCTTTTTATTTTTTTCTCCTCAAAGTCCATCTCAGTATCTGTTCCGGGCCATTCCTCTATCTGCCCGACCGCCGCGGCCACCACCCCGAGGCGGCCCACGGCTCGAGCTGCTGTATTCACGAGGATAGCCTCTCTCAAGAGGAGGGGGTGGCCCTCGCTCCTGCCTACCCAGACGGTCACCACGACTAGTGGAGTACGGGTCACTCCGACTGCTGGGATAACTGTCTCGACTGCCATATCCATCCCGGGAACTGCTGCCATAGTCGTCATAACGACTGCTTCCGCCACTCCCACTGTAGGACGGAGGGGGACCCCTTGAGGGTGGGGCGCTGCGTGAGTTACCTGCAGGGTCAATGGGTCATGTAATTGGCAAAATTAACTTCAACATTCTTTGCAAGATACTGCGTTGTCAAGTGCCCTTTTCCTTAAAATTGTGTCACGACTAGCTCAGATGTTAGAAACTTTCCAAATGAGGACAGAACAAATTTGGATCTCGAGTTACAGGTGGGACTAGTTAAACCTAAGATACCTGAACTACCCAACTGCAGTGTTGACAATTGCGCACTCAGAGCCCTTTGGCACGTCACTGTTGAGTAAGTGCACTTTCCTTGGTTTGGATTGAATTCCGTTTAGATTGTAGTTTGGATACTGGATCTCTGTTGGTTGTTCGGACAGTGCTACCGGAACATTTTGGGGGGCAAAAAACAGCTTGCAAGAGATTCCTTGTTGGTGCATTTTTTTTTGGGGGGGGGGGGGGGGAAGATTCCTTGTTGGTGTGATTTTTTTATTGGATGGAACACTCTGGATGAAAAGACGCCGCATTTGATGTTTCCACTTTTTGGCAATGACACGAGGCAGCCCTTTCCAGAGCGAAACAGGCAGTTTGAGTGGAGCCCCTTAACCCTTTTCACCACACTAAAGGTTTAATCTTACCGTAACTGTCGTAAGGGTCTCTATAGGAGCCTGAACTGGGCCGATCCATGTAACCCCTGGGCTCTCGTCCTCCACCGTAGCCATCTCGATCACTAAGAAACAAAGAGACGTTAGGCTGGATTCTTAAACTGCCATCACACACACGTTTTAGGATGTTCACACACCTGTAACCTCTGGATCCTGACCCATAGTCATCTCTAGAACTGGAATGGCCCGAATACTCCCGGTATGGGTAATCACGTGGTGGCGGGGCATAGTCTCGACCGTCCCGTGAACTCATGTAGTCACGGCTGGAGTAGCTGTAAAACAACAGCTTGTGAGTTTCACTGAATACTACAAGATTATTAGTCTAGTGTTAAATCACCTGCATAGTAGGGCTGGTCCGAATACCATTTTTTGAGCTTCGAGCTTCGGAGGGAGGGGGCTGAACATATTCTTCGCTCTAATAAAGGCAGGAATCTCTGCGTGTCTGTTTGCATTTTTATTATGTCGAGAACCGTTCATCCAATCGACTTCACGCGTGGCAGGTGTGTTGCTGCGGACCCAAGGAAGTGCTGTGTCGCATGTTGGTGCAATATGGACACGCGACACGTTCAGAATTAATAAACTTTTTAATAAACTAACAGCGTGAGCCGGAAGCGGCGTGCCTCACGCGGGCAGGGCTTATATGCTTCGAGAGCGGACACTGCACTAGTGATACAAAACACAGGTCTGTTAAGAGCAATACTTTTAATAGACAAAATTATTATTAGACTGGGCTACTGTAAGTTTTTTTATGACTGCTGTATTCGCAAGTATTTTCCAAGCAAATTAAGTGCACGTTTTTATCATGTGTAAAATTACTGATTAACATGGCGGATAAAAGCAGCTCGTTTTTTTTTTTTTACACCAACAATATAGCCTACTATAGGCGTAGCCCTTTTTTTAGACTTTTTTTACGCCCCTCGGGCCAATTTTCACATCATAGTTAAGACGCGAGCCGGGCCTCAGGCTTGCTTTAGGCTTTTCCTAATTTTTATATTTTAGACATACATCAATTAGTGATGAAAAAAAATAGCCGACCTGGTGGAAACAACACGAGACCGTGCTGTCAAGAGCGGCTCTGTTTAGTGTCCTGCCAGCAGCAGCAGCATGTGTGCCGTCAGCGCAGCTGAAGAGTTCAGCGTTCAAATGCACGCAATAGGCTAAAGCTTGCCGCAAAGCCCCTGCAAAAGTAATTACCATGAATGTGTCAGAGAGAAATAGTAAGGAGATATTTGAATTATTTACTAATAAGATGCAAAGATTAAGATGACTATCCTGACTCGCCATCTCTTCATTAGACGCTTTTAGAGAGAAGTGCATCTTTACAGATTATGATGAAAGAGTTTGTTTTCTATTTGTTTTATCGTTAAGTGGTAATTTAAAGGGGTCATATGATGCGATTTCAATTTTTCCTTTCTCTTTGGAGTGTTACAAGCTCTTGGTGCATAAAGAAGATCTGTAAAGTTGCAAAGACTAAAGTCTCAAATCCAAAGAGATATTCTTTATAAAAGTTCAGAAAAAAGTCGTTCTAACACGCCCCCACATGTCTACATCACAATGTGGGAAGATTTGCATAACACCGCCCAAATGTGCACGCAAAGAAAGAAAGCGTGGTTTCAGGAACAGCAGT